GGGAAAACAATGTAAAACTATTCGTTGTTGATTTGTCTTCATCTCTACTTTTTCGTGTTTTGTCGATACTTTTGTTGAATTGATTATCAATGCCCCAAATGCTTTAACCAGCCAACAAGAAATCCACTTCTTCAATTCTATCGCATAACTTACCGAAGCTCAAAACTTTCAAAAATTTTTTACTACAAATGTCTGCTTTTAAGTTTTATTTTTTTTAACCATAAGTTTGGCAGTTCTTATGTTCACTAGATGAATTAATGGTTAATACCTGACTTTTAGTGCCAGATTTTGCTTTGGACAGCACACAAAAACTACTTTGGTTCAGTTTTGTCCGTAAATGTAAGAAAGCTGTAAAATACATTTTACCAGAAAACATTAACGACAAATTTCGACTAAGCCACAACTTTTCTGATTCATAGAATTAGTAACTAAATGTATTGAAAAACGTTTTATCTGTTCCTAAAGAGTTTAAACTATTCGATAGTTTTTTTTCACCATTTGTCGTTAGGAAAATCGACTGATAATGTTGCCCTTAGTTCATAATTGAAACTGAATACATTTGTGGGAGAAGATGCCGTTTCTTTTGTAGTGATGATGTTCGAAAAATCGCTATAGGGGCCAGTTTGAAAACTGTTTTGGGCAGTTTGCGAACTTCACCATACAATACTACTTAACAAAAACATCAGAGAGAAATCAAAATTTTTCCGAGAAAAAACCATAATAAGTTTAAAACCACTGTTTTTTAAAACTGCGAAAAAATAACTACGCGGAACAAAACTGAACATTTTTACGTGTAGTTGAAAATGTTGAAATTAAAAAAATCAATCACGCTTTTAACAACTAAATCATACGCAAGCCATGCTTTCGTGTAGTTAAAAATGTTGAAACTCAAAAAAAATCAAGTTAGCCCAAAATGTACAGTAGAGTTTGAAAAAATTCTCGATCACTGACTTAGTAGCGTTCGCAAGTTTAGTGAAAAACGTAAATTTTTTTTCAATTTTTGAGGAAGCAGCAAAAGTTTTCCTTAAAGAGTATTTTTTCAGATCCATTTTCAGTTTTAAATTTACAGTTTTTGACAGTTTTTTAAGGATAAAATCGTTTTTATGCCCTGAGTTTAAATTTAGTTTATTCTTATGAAACAGAAAAAAATCTGTTCCTTTTGCCAAATTGACAAAATTTGGAACTCCTTGAGTTAAAACATATGAATTTTTCGAGCTCTAAGCTCAGTTCGCCACATAATTTAGCTCGGAAACAGTTCTAATGTGGGAGGAGGCATTTTTTTAGTCCAGGTAATGTCTTCGACTAAACAAGAATGCTCGTATATTAGATCAAAACCCTAAATGTTCCTACTGGTTTGAAAATGATCTCAAATAATCTCATTTAAAAAACTGAAAAAATTATTTTTGAACTATTTGCTTTTCATCAACAGCCTAAATTGAATAGCAAAATTGTAAGAGAAAAGTCCTTAGGTTGACTGTTTTAACTAGTGGGGTGTTCCTCTTGTAGATTTAGGATTGTCCTAGCCCAACTTTGGAGACTGATCGTATGAACATACCTAGTACTTCACTTCTAACACGCGTTTTATTTATGCGTGGCGAATTTTTGTCGTTTTCAATCAAAAGGCGTCTTAAAAAAGTCGTTTTTTAAAAAAAACGACTCGTTTTAAATTCCGAAGTTGTTTTAAAAAGTCGTTTTCATTTTGATCTCAGCTTAAAATTTAGCACTAAATACTTGTTATCTATAATTGTTGCTCCATTTTTCAAAAGTTTGGATATGTTCACATAAATTTAAAATGTAATCAATTTGACAAATTGAATTTCGAGTTATTGTTCCGACTTTCGATACGAAAGTAACGGAATATTTGTGCTCGGGTGGGTGTTTTTTCTTCAGGCAAATTTCGACTTTTTAACTAGCCATTTTTGACGGAATTTCTTTATACCATGAGCCTGAAATTGAAACGATATTTCACCTGTGATCATTTTCTGTAAAATTATGAGGGTTTAAAGATTGCCATTTTGGCCATTTTGACCAATATGGGGCAATTAACGCGCGATATAATTCGCGCTATTAACGCGTAAGCGGAGATTTAATCGGTTTTAGAAATCGTCGCAAATTGGTTGAAAGAAGCTAATTTGCCTTAATTGATTTATTACAAGGAGCGAAATTAATTGTTTTCCACTTTATATGGCGTTTGGGGGGATGATTTTCATAGAAAAATTTTCAAATTTTAGAAAAAAAAAATTTTCATTTCATTTTATTTCATTTAATTTTTTTATGATGTTTATGTTATTTATGCTCCATAAACGTTAAAAGGCAGTCGGAACTTTCAGGGCTTCGCCCTGATACGAGCAGTCTTGTTTCTTTTGATTTCGATTTCAATATAATATAAAATTATAATATCCACACAGGCAGTTTAGTGGTAAAAAGCCTAAAGGACAGTTTGATAATAAAAGTTTGGTACAAAATTGAGTCTGCTCCTGGTCTGAATAACAGAAAAACTACCTTATGCATATATATTACTTGCTTTCTTTTTGAGTTGGAACAATTAGGGTTTAGTTAATATAACTAAACTGATCATACTTTTAAATGCACGTGTGGAATCGTTCTGAAAAACTGAACAACGTTTTTTGATTCTTTTTTATGACAAATTTTAAAATTTTGTGAGGCAATCAAAATAATTCAAGTTTTGTTATCATATGAACCTGATGAAATTATACCAAGATAAAAATTTTTTGTGGAAACTAATTAAAAGGCCTCCGTTTTTAGGAAACTCACTGCGTTGGGTGGTTTGAAAATAAATGTTTCCTAATTATGAGCCGAAAAAGCGAACAATTTTTTTCTATTCGATCTCAGTATTGTCCGACTTACGGCATCAGATGCATGTAGACGGGAAAATTAATTCTCTTTTGATGTCTGTTTGCATACATGACTTTCAAAAACAGTATCAAACAACCTAACGAAGTCAGTTTCGTAACAAAGCAAGCCTTTCAATTAATTGTTACAATAAAATGTTTCTCTTGGGATAGGTTTTGTGTATGCATAACCGTGTATGCAAACACGGTTATGCATACACAAAAATTTTGCACCATAACCGTGTTTTCATTATCCCGAGTGGTCAATCTCGAGCAATCAGAACTTCAAAAAATCAGTTTTAAATTGGAATCAAGTTGTAAGCCCAACTGCAAATATAACTAACAACAGCTTAACCTATACAACAATGACAATTAAGATCAAAAATTGCTTCTATCTAATTTGAATGGCAACTTATGGAAAATTATCAAAAAACAATCTGAAAATAATTTAAATGAAAATTATTAACCCTTGTAAAAATACTTTTGAATTAAAAGAAATACCAAAAGCAAATTTCTTGACTTACACTTAACCAATACAAAAGCTAGAAATAATGACTTAAACGAACAATTAGTCAAAACTTGCAGGATGGTACAATATACAATAGACCCACTACTTTTTTGTGCTGATAATAACATTAAAAAAGCTCTACACTTTTTGCAAAAACTCTTTCAAAATTGTCTTTTCAGTTCATATAACAATTTTAAAACTCTACTCAAACAAAAAATTGTCGACAAAATTTTTTTCAAAAAGTATCAAGGCAGAAATCAAAACACAAAGTTCAGTATAACATTAGATGATAACAAAACAGAATAAAAGCCACAAGCAAATTTTTTAGGGCTAATTCTAGATTATTTCTTACATTTTAGGGGCAATTTAAAAATAAATTAGGATAATTGGCCTGCGGAATCGAAAATTACAATCATTGAAAAAACCGCCGTCAATCGAAAACATAAAACTACACATAAAGGCTGTAATCATGAGCCATTTACACCACCCAGCAAAACTATAAAGCAATAAAAGAACGAATCGAATAAAATCATTTGAAAAACAACTGAGTTGGGCAAGCAAGAATTGCCCTGAGTGAAAAAACTCGATTCTTCACCTGATCTCAAACTGGAACTCAACATACCGCCCTTTTCATTAATTCTTTGTTGAAAGTTACCGTGTCAGCATTGAAAGATACCGTGAAAGTAAGCGTGTCATCTTCATGCAAGATTCAGCAGTTATTATATCAGAAAAAGTTTCATGAAAATAATTTAAATGAAAATTAATAATCCCTATAAAAATATTTTTGAAATTAAAAAAAAATACCAAAAGCAAAATGCTTGACATACACTTAACCAATATAAAACCTATAAATAATGACCTAACCGAACAATTTGCCAAAACTTGCAAAATGGTTAAAAAAAAATTCAAAAAGTATCAAGGCAGAAACCAAAATACAAAGTTCAGTATAACATTAGATGATAACAAAACAGAATAAAAGCCACAAGTAAATTTTTGAATTAATTGCCTAGATTGAAGTTTGGTAAGCGTTAGGATTATGTTTAGTATGTGAAGCATAACAACAAACCACTAATTATGGTAAAAAATCAGACTTTTTTTTGTATCCTCGCTTTGTGCTAAGTTTCAGTCTAAACAGCAAACGATTTAGTCCAGTTTTCTTGACTTTGCAAAAATTTTGTTGATAATTTTTTTTCCAAATCCATGTTGTGAAAGACACGTTTTTATTGGAAACCTCACTTGACACCCCGTAAAACTCCTTAGACGAAATCAAATTTGGTTGGAAAAAAAACATTGTTTTTTCCCGAGAGTGGTCCCCGGGTCGAAGTCCGCGTCTTACAAAAACAGCAGCGCGACAGAAACTTTGCGATTCAAAATTAGCGCAACTGAGAAGAAAACACAGCGACAGGCGCAAATTGATAATCATAGCGATAGATGCGACATCAGAAAATGGTGCGACCAGCACGATTGAAAATTGCCAATTTGGGACCGTCGCTACTAAAAAAACCTTCAGTCTTTTCTTAAGTCGCTTTTTTCCGCCAGTTTTTTCTTTAGTAGCGCCGCCAGTCTTTTCTTGTGCCGTACCACCGGTCTTTTTGAAGTTACGCTGCCTATTGTGCCATAACCCTAAGACTAAGTAACAATTCAATCAACCATAAATGTATTGTCTAAAATATCACGATTCCATACAACATTCTACTACAAACTACATACTGGTTAAAACTGAACAAACTTTACATAACTTTATATGGACTTAACTTTACATAACCCGGGATATTATCATAAATCTTTCAGATCAAATTCGCTCATCTTTTTTGATTTTTTCATGTTGTCAGTTTCAAGACTGCTGAAGGGAATTTGATTTGATCCAACCGTTCACCTGTCACTTTCTTCTTCACCTGTCATCGCTCACTTTTTGCCTCCTTGGTGCTGAGTTCTTCCTTGATTCACATTACCCGCAGCAGCTCCTTGCGCCCTAAACATGAAAACGGCCTAAAAAATGACACCTGAGAACGGGCGGTGCTGGCTTAATGGTGTGTTCTCCCAAACGATTCCAATTTGTATTTGTGAATTTTCAAAAATAATTCTGTAACAATAGATATCGTTTTTAAAATAACCTATTTTATTATAACCAGAAACTGACTAGGGGAGTGCAGCCAGTATTTAGACAGCCGCGTATTCATACTGGTCAGTATTTAGACAAATACTGTTTCAACCAATCAGAATCGAGAAAAGACGTAAATAATCCAAAATAAATCATAATTATTTATTAATTTCTTCTTTGTCTCGATTCTGATTGGTTGAAACAGTATTTGTCTAAATACTGACCAGTCTGAATGGTTGGGTAAGACAGTGCCGAAGTAAGAGAGTGCCGAAAACAAAAATTTGTTAAAGAGTGGCGAAAATGAAAATTTGTTAAAGAGTGCCGAAAATGAAAATTGAGTGCCGAGGTGGGTGTAATTAGTGTTTTCAGCGAGGCATGGCCCGCTAATATTTGGCAAGGACCATACGTTCGCTCCGCTTCGCTCCGCTCACTTGAATCCGATACGAGTGCTAGTTGTGTCTAAGGGTCTGTGTTTCAGGAATTAAAGAACTTAGTAGCATTCTATCACCCAAGCGATTTGTTAAAGAGTGCCGAAAATGAAAATTTGTTAAAGAGTGCCGAAAATGAAAATTGAGTTTTGTTTGCTCAAAAAAGAAAAGAAAGTTTTGTTTGCTCATCGATTTTGGCGCCAAAATTGAGTCTGAACAAGTTTATTTGTCGTGAACTAATTGAGAAAAGAAAAGAAAGTTTTGTTTGCTCATCGATTTTGGCGCCAAAATTGAGTCTGAACAAGTTTCAAGTGTCATTATTAATTTTCCCGCCAAAAGCTAGCCTCTTAAATTGCGTTCCAATATTTCCCGCCTTTTTCGGCACTCTCTAACTTCGGCACTGTCTAACGCCCCCGTCTGAATACGCGGTTGTCTAAATTCTGATATGTAACCCTGACTAGGTAACTACAAAAACTAATCAGGGTCATGATTTTTTTTGTAAGAGAAAGTGATTTTTTTTGGAAAAAAGAACGACATTATCGAAATTGACAAAAACCTGGATGCGAATCCTCCCGATTGCACATGACCGGTTCCGCTCTGCCTTGCCTCGTGACTCTGAATTCTGGCGGCCGCATCTGTTGTCATTGGTGTTTTGCCAGGCATGTTGATCAATTCTTAAGTTTCGATCAAGTCTCAAATTTCTTCTACTTCAAAAATAAATTTGTAATACTTCGTTTTATCAAAAAGCTCGTATTTATACTGGTTTTGTTTCAGTTTCAGTTTCAGTTATTGTTTTCTGTTTGGATTGATGACATGTTTTATTTATACTCCACTCTACATCGTTGTTCCAATCAGCCGAACAGAAAGAGAAAGAATACAAAGAAAAACAATTATTATTAATGACATTCAAATTGGTATCTGGCAAAAATACGGCAGCTGTTTTTACGACAACGTTTTTCTTAGATTTAAAGACGACTGTAGACATTTCTTTAGTTCTATTTCTGAGAAATAGAAACTGCTTAAGTTTGTGAAGTTTACTAAATAATTTACGCTCAGTTGCCGTATCAACACCAGGACGTCCTAATGTCCTGTCGTCTTATTTAACTAGAACCATTCAAGTTTTAACTTGAACTTCCAACTATTTTAGTGATAAAATCTTTGCTCGGTCAATGTTTAATGTATATTATTTAACAAACTATTTTAATGACAAAATCTTTAAAATTTAACAATATTTCTGCACCATTCGTATCTCAGAAGTACAAAAAAATAATTTTGGAGGCGAATGCAAGTCTTGTAACAAAACTGGATCTTTTTACTTATCAAAATCAATATTTCAGCATCTTGGTCTGGAACTATTTGGCTTTATTCTGATTGGACAAAATTACCCAATCAAAATTCAGTTTCATCTCAAAATATTTTTCTCACAAGTCGAATTATAAAGGGGGCAGTACAACAGTGCCGAAGTACAACAGTGCCTAAATAAAAAAAAATAGTTCAACAGTGCCGAAAATTAAAACTTTGTTCAACAGTGCCGAAAATATGAACAAATTTCAACATATTAAGTGCGGCAATCAAAAATTAAACGGCGCACGCTAACAATTTTAAGTGACAGTTAAAGAATTTGAGCAAGAAAATTTGCAATTTCGACGTTGTGGCTCAAAATAATTGTTTAATTTGCAGTTGAAGACATTTTGGAGTGATTTTGTTTGATAATTAGCGTCAGTAATTTCACGCTCTTTAGAAAATGCGTTAAAATTTTTTTTTGCGTCAAATTTTTTTTGGGGATAGAACGCTCGAAACAGCCCGCCGACGTTCTTAACAGTTTATGCAGTTTTCGGATCGAGTGAAAAATGGAAAGTACCGGTCGTTTGGGAATTTTCCATTCAAAAAGTGAAGGAAAATACCAAAGATTTTTCAAGATTTTGACCCAAAAAAGCCATTTTTATGCAATTGGCCAATAATGCCCGAAATTTTTTTGCTTGATCTTGAAACTGGGATCAAACCGGCAATCCGAAAAAGGTCTTACATCACGAGCCATCTCGTATGTTGGTTTCACTATACCCAGTGTATTTTCCGGAAATTTCAGGAACTCGGATTTTCGAGAAAATATAAAAATGATCCGAGCCTGCACTTGATAGCTTGTAGACTATTCAGCTTGCCTTTTTTACCCGTTGATGAGCTGATTGAATATTTCCAGAATTATCAGTCCGAACTATCTGAAATTTTTTCTTGACACCAAAATCTTGAAAAAAAAGTTTCAGTAGATTGCTGAATTTTGGATAAGTGGTTACGTCTCCGTTGTTATGAGGAATGTATTTGACAGTGATATTACCCTGAGAACTACCAACAAATGAGAAAATTGGAATATGAGATGGAACAAGGAAATTGGGGTCGTAATTGCTGAAAGTGCGCAAGAGACCGAATCTCGAACGCAATTACCAAGAATTTCACGTGGCAAACCATTCCCGAAAAAACGAAAGTCATCAGTTATTAGATGAAAAAGTATGATTCAATAAGGGAGTTGCATTCAATAAAAAAACTACCGTCAATCGAAAACATAAAGTTATATATGAAGGTTTTGGTCATAAGCCATTTGCACCGACCAGCAATACTATAAAGCAATTAAAGAACGAATCGAATAAATAGTGCACAGAAAAAAATGCTTGACGATCACTTGCTTGACAGTTTTAACTATCTTGCAATAAAGGTGTTCATTATTTAACAGTAAAACGACACGAAATTCACTGTGAACCGGTTGTTTTTTTCAAAGTTAATCAAACTTCTATATGGATTGTAGCTGTTACAAACTGTGTTTGCGTTTTTAAATTGCCTGATTCAACGGTGCCGGTTAAACAAGTGATAATATTTTATTTTGTTTCATTTTCATAAAAAAGAGAATAAAACAATCGGGGTGAAGGTGAATCTATGACTCAAAAAAATTATTCTCATCTGATAATTCTTCAAGTTTTATAAAATCAAATTAAGTAAAAAAAAGAAATAGTGATCAACTCTAAATTTTTTTTATAGGTTTTCATTTGACACTAGAACTCAAAATTCGACAATTGTTACACGAATATTTTTAATTCAGTTTTTGAAATGATTGGCGAAATTACCCGGATATAAAATCAACATTTTTTTCATAAATTTCTGGAGACGATTATAATAGGAAGAAACACTGAGCTAATAAACTTGTTCCTATATCCCAGTATCGGTTTTCCCCAATTTTTTACATTCTCATCAAAGTTTGTCAAATTAAAGGAACAGTTTGTTTATTTCAATATTCTTTAAAGATGAGTATCAAAAAAAGTATAACGGTACATCAAAAGCAAACAGGATTTTTTAATAAAATCACTTATTTGCTGTGTAAAATGGGATTTAGGTAATATCGAGTCGATCAATTCAATTATTAAAGAAAGAATCGAATACAATCAATTTGATTGTTAAAAAAAATCGTTCATTTGCTGTTTAAGTTACATTTTGTTTGTGGTAAGCAAATTAGCAATTGAAAACGTTGTTTTAACAATGCGGGTGGGACAATTATTGCACGAGATAATTTGCGTGCAGTTAACGAGTAAGTCATGACTATTTGTTTATGTATTTATTTATGTGCTTTATGAAAAACGTATCCTTGTGGGCTCTTTTTTCTTTTCCCTTCACCTCACACAAACATCAATTTTATGTTCTAACAAGTGGTTTTATAAGGTTGATTATGATGATCAAAAATGTCTATCATGGCTTAATTAGTCGGCATGTCAATTTTCATGACAATCGGACAATGTAAACAGTATAATTTTGTTCAATAAATTTTGCAGGAGGGGGAGCAAAGGAAAAAGAGCCTCATTGTGTACTAAAAACAGCGTGTGGGGTGATGACTTTAAAAAACGTTCAAAAAAAATTTTTTGTTCAAAGCAAACACGAATCTAAAAAGCTTACAATGCAGTTTGAAAATTGAGAGCTTCGACTTGATAGGTCTGGTCTTGTTGTATTCAAACCTACAAGTATGACAGTAACTGAAAGTTGAAGCCCGTTTTAGTGTAGGGACCGTCCGATTATATTGTGCGATGATTAGCAGTGCCAAAAAATTGAAGTTCTGTACAGCAAAAAAAATCAGCTTGCAATTTTTCTGAAGATCTGCTAAGATAAAAAAAAATGCATACCGCAAATTAAAAAAAAATTGTTGAAAAGCTTTCTGAGTAACATTATGAATTCTTTGTAACAAGAAAAGAAAACCTAACAAATGAGTTTGAATCACAATCGGGGGGTGGTTTTAAATTTGAATCAAGAAATATTGTCGACAAAATGATGTCATTTAAAACTTTAACATGAATACGAGGACCGTAGCAGTTGAGCAAATCTCAAACGCGGCAAGAACGTCACAACCTTGAAAACCTCTGATCTGAAAAATCATTGAAGCTGGAATGAAATTCAAATCATTTTATTTACTAAACGAATGTAAAGTAATTAGCGTTTTCTATCAATTTTGTCAGGTCGAATACTGTCTGGTCGAATTTTGTCGGGCCATGTCAGGTCGAATAATTTATACGATCTCAAACAATCAGCCTATAAAAATTTGATTTTTACTTCACAATTGATTTTTACTCGAAATGGACAGAGGAAAAAAGCTGCAGTGGTTGCCTTACAGCAGCAGTTGTTACCATTGATCATGAGTTTTTGATAGTATTACTTGCGGAACATGTAGGTATTGAAAGATCGTCAAAACATCTGATCTCAGTGCAGCCCAGTAAAAGAATGCAAGGCTTTAAGATAGATGCAGCTATACCGAATCATCGAGTAATCAAAAGTGGAGCTCCTAAAAGACTTTTTTTACAGTCTTGCTCCTCACCAACTTTCGGCAATTAGATTGGTGCTTGCTCAGATTATCAAATTCATGCAAACATTACCATGTTGCACTGCAGTCAATTTTCAGATGAGGGAAACTTTGACAAAAGTTAATTTGATTTGAAGAAACATGTTGGTTTGCTCGAAAACGTGAGACTGACTTTCTCAAAAACAAATTGAAGAATAAAACTTGTACTTAACATACGTCAAACTAAAAAACATCGTTGGAGAAATTTCTGAGTAAAGTATTGATCTCTTTGTAACAAAAAAAGAAAAGCTACAAATGAGTTGGAATCACAATCGGGTAGTTAAAAAATTGATTCAAGAGGTGTTGCCGACTAAACGATTTCATTTGAAACGTTTGCATGGTTATGAGGACTATAACAGTTAAGCATATCTTAAATGCGGCAACAACGTCATATCCAATGAAAGTTTCTGGCCTGAAAAATCATCATTACAATCTCGTTTTTTTTTTGACAAAATGAATGTTTGGTAATTAGAATTTTTATCAATTTTTAAAGAAACCTTAAATAAACCGCAACTCAGGAAGCTAATTTTGGATCCTGAATTTTTAAGTCTCGCAAATTTGTGCTAAAAACAAGCCATGTCAAATTGAACAATTTATACAATCTGAAACAATCAGCCTGTAGAAAATTGTAATCAACAAAGTCAGTCTTGCTAAAAAAAACTTCCAATTTCTTCTCACTCGAAATGTACAGGGGAAAAAAGCAGCAGTTATATCCCTACAATTCATCACAGCATTTGCTGTCCTTGATTATGATTTTTTGATATTTTTACTTGCGAAATGCGTGGGTGTTGCAAGATTGCCAAAAAAATTGATTTTAGTGTACCTCAAAAAAGTCCAACGCATCAAGATAGATGTAGCTATACCGAATCATCCAATAATCAAAAGTGAAGATCCTTAAAAAAATTTTCTCCAGTCGTTGTTGCTCTTCCCCGTCTTTTGCCACTTAAATTGATGCTTGCTCAGATCGTCAACTTTGTGCAAGCAACATCATGTTGTACTGCAGTCAATCTTCAGATGAGGGAAACGTTGAGAAAAATTAATTGGATTTGAAAAGAAATGTTGGTTGGATCCTTA